TCAAACTTTATTAAAGAATGTGCTTAGATGGAGCCTAATCAGTAGGGATGGGCCAAATACTTACGATTATGGGTAACTGTGGTTATCCGTCCATTTAAAAATTACGATTATGGTTATAAGTAACCATTTAAATAAATAAACAATTATAGGTATTCCCGTTTAGTAATTAGTAGACTTTATTTAAGAAAAAAAAATCTTATATAGAATTTAAGTTAGAAAAGATTAAATTTGAAAAGAGTAAAGTCACGTTTTTATTAAATATTTTCTTAAACACGTAATCACGAAATGTGGCTTTCACTGACCAGTGAAGAAAATTTTTTGGATAACGCTCGAAAGCAAACACAGAGCTAGAGTTGGCTGGGCCAATCTTTAGCAATTCGTAATGGCCTTGGTCCCATTAGCCATAGCCCACCCTAGACCCTCGAACATGGGCCCAAGCCCAACCTTCCAATCACGTGGCCGAAAGTTGGCCTCTTTCCAAAACAACGTATTAGAGCATCTTTAAAGAAAACATTAATTGACCCGTACGCTTGTACATTAATTATTAGGCATTTTAAATATTTTGAGTTCATCAAAAAAATATTATTAATGTTGAATATTTGCACATTTTAACCACCCCTTAAAACATTGTTCACGAAGGTCTTTACAGTTATAAAATCGCAAACGACGATGTAATCATCATCAAAGTTTATAGAATACGGCACGAGTGTTGGTTATTTTTTCACATTTTTTGCACATAAATTTTACATATTATGAATTTTTAATAAAATTTAAAGAGTCAATTCACACGTGACTGTACAAAATAGTGACAGCTGTCCATGGGCTCACTGAGAGCCAATCAAATTTTGACGCGTGTCATCGATGTCATTTAATGATATTTTATTTTCATTTTTATTTTGTTGTTAAAATGTCTTTAGCAAGGTTTTTGTGAAAGAGCCCCTGTTATATATATATATATTATTTAGATATATATCATACATATATTATATAAGTGAATATTTTATCTACAAAAATGCTACTGCTCTTGACTTTTACGCAGGTATGGCTACCTGCATGCATAGTTATTTGTTGCTTAGCACCTCTAAAAAACACAGGCAAAAAAATAAAAGACAAAATAAAAGGACCAAGAGGAATGGAGGACGTCAGGGAGGTACTCTGCACACTCTTTCTCTCTCTCTCTCTCTCTCTCTCTCTCTCTCTGTGGACAGGGAGGACTGGAGGAGGGCAGGGAGGTACCACACACACACTGGAGGAGGGCAGGGAGGTACTACACACGGATTTGGATCCTCTCATGAGCAAGAGATCAGGATCCTCGGGATCAAACAACATAGGCTGTTAAATTTTAATCCAACGGCTATAATTATTATAATTTTAGAAGAATTCTCTGTTTATAATCGTTAGATCAAAATCCAACGATCCATATTGTTTGATCCTAAGGATCTTGATCTCCTGCTTAGGAGAGGATCCAAATCCACTATACACACACTCTCTCTCTCTCTAAACAGACAGCTGGGCGCCACTACATAATCTTGATAATTAGTTAAGTCTAATTAAGGTTACAACATTATAATCATAGCTTACCACATGACAACTTTTAAGTGGTTGCTAGCGCCACTCTAGTGGCATGTTACGCCCCAAACAAGTTTTTCTCTGCATGGTAAGTGGAAAATGTCTAACTTGATGAGAAAAAAAAAACGTTAATAAGATGATATGGTGCTTATTTTCTATTAGTCACACATTATATAATAGGAAATTTTAACGAAAAACTCCCGGTACTGTTCACTTTAACGAAAAACCATATTTTTACACTAAAAAGTCAATCCTAGTACTATTCACTTTTCCCTTTATTTTGTCCTTATCATTAAAACTCAAAGTTTTCAAACCCTTTTCATTAGTTTTCCTTATATAATATACCAATTTAATTTAAAAGTTAGTTTATATAACATTACTATTTGATAATCTCTTTCCATCACTCTATTTTTTTTGTTCAGACAGTGATTTTTTTCAGACCATATTTTTTAATCTCTTGCCCTCGCCATCGGTCCACAATTGAAAGCACCCGCCTAATTTTTAGAAAAATGGAGATGAAGGGATTGCAGTGGCGGCTGGGGTGTCTTTGGATGCAGTTACGTAGGGCGGCCTGGATGGGGGGGTGGGAGTCGAAGATCACAGCCTGGACACGGTGGTTATGGAGGGAAGACAAAGGAGGTGAGGTGGATTCGAAGAAGGAAGGGGGAAGGGAGAAAGAGGAGGAAATAAGGAGGGTTGCTGCTGGGAAGCGGGAGGTTGAAGATGAATAGTAGGGGCGGGGCCCACTATGTTAGAAAAAATTAAAAGGAGAATGGGGTAGAGGGGAAGGGAGAAAGAGGAAAGAAAAGCAGGGTGGGTCACAAGAAGATTTAAACGACGCGCGGCAACACCTGATAAGGCCACGTGTTATTTTTAATTTTTTTCTTCAAATTACTAAAAACTCAGTAAAATCCTTAATGATTGCTCTACAATTTAAAAAATTGATACTTTGGATACGGTCCTTAATCTTTGACATTCTTTGATTAAAGCCTTAATAGTATTCAAAGTTTGATCAAAGTCCCTTGACTTTGTACACCTCATTATATTACTATTAATATTTATATTTTTATAGTTTTGACATTAATTGTTTGATATTTTATGAGATTTATAATCCTATAAATTTAAAATCTCTCATTATAATACTATTAGAAACGGTTACAATAAAAATATTCAAACATTTTGATTCAATAAATGGATAAAAACTATGTAAAAATAAGAAATAATAAATGGCAAAAGAATGTATCCATAGTGATAAAAAAAAGGTACATTTTACAAAAAAATAGGTACATTTCACATATAACAAAGTGGTACATTAATAAAGAAGAATGGGTACATTATAAATAAATTAGGGTACAGATAAAAGATTAAAAAATTATGAGTACAAATGAATTTTTAAAAAATATAGGTGCTAAAAGAAATTAATACATGGGTACAAAATAAAACTAAAAAGAAAATACTACAAATTTTAAAAAAATGTTGCAAATTAAAGTGGGTACAAACTAAAAATATAAATATATGATACAAAGTTTAGGCATAAAACATAAATATACCATATGTAATTTTTCTATCATTGATTAAATATACAATGTTATGTGATGGTATACACATGGGTACAAATACAAATAAAACTTTAAAAAATTGGGCACAAAAAGAAACTAATATATGGGTACAAATTAAAAATGAAAGGAAAATTGGTATAAATTAAAAAATGTTTGCAATTAAAAATAGGTACAAACTAAAAATAAAAATATATGATAAAAAATTTAGTCATAAATATAAATATACTAATTGTAACATTTTAAACACTAAATGAATATATTTAAAAATAAAAATATTTTATTATTCAAATAAGTAATGATGTTATTAATACCTAAGGACCTTGATCAAAAATTGAAAATGAATAGGATTTTAATCAATAGAGTAACAAAAAGAAGGATATGAACCTAATTTGTCCTTTAAAAAAATATGCAACCCTAGTGATTACATCCTCTACTCTTTAATAATGATTAGATCATCATCTGTATTTTTGACATTGGGGAAGTCACGACGTCGTTGTTAGTAAATCAATCCCTAAATTCAAGCTGCTGCTTACAACCCCAATATCGTTGCTGGTGAATTAATCCCCAAAATCCATGTCGTTGTTGGTGATTTAATCCCCAAAATCAATGGATTTTTGAGTTGGGCAACCGAGTTTTGATAGGGAGTAGATAAGAATATGAGAGGGGAGAAAATAAAAAAAGAAATAAAGTCAAGAAAGAAGAGTATAAGGAGATAATAATTATTTTCTAACTAGCTTAAACCGATGTGAAATGCTTTATTGACCTATGAATAATTATTATAAATATTTGATTGATTATGTCATAAAAGAAAATTGAGTATTGATTTATGACGAATTAGTAAAGATTTTATTTACCTTTAGCTGAATAACCTTAAAATTAAAAAAATATATTAATTTTCTATTTCTTACGTGTTATTTTCTCTCTCTTACGTGTCTCACTCTCGCACCTTGACACCATCTGAACCTCCGAAACCCCAACTTCTCCCCACGACCCACCCTTCGAAATCCTAAAATTAATTAGTAAATAAAAATCAAAAGTGTAGAACTTGCGTAAGTTTCCTTGCCAATGCATACTATCTTCACACATTAAAGCTCACTTAAAAATCTATTATGCAACTCTATAATCTGCATTGCTAAAACGAATAGTAATTAAACACTAAAATTAACACAATTTGACAAGAAAAGAAAGGAGGATAGTAAAACAGAATTATCCAAGGATTAAAGAAGCTTCTCATTTGAATGTCGTTAGATGGGCTATGCTTTCGAAATTAAAGATCGTACACTTACTAATGGGCTACGCTGCTCATAGTTTGTTGTCCCTAGCAGCATAGCCATCACTTAAGGTGTCAATTTTCGAACGTCCGAGTCCCATCGCAATCCACAAAGGCAGCAGTCCTCGATATGAAGCATTATAGTGTGACTGAAAAGTCCTTGTGTTTGGAAATCACTTCTGTTGGCGTGGTTGGGCCTTTTTTTTTTTTTTGTTTCTTTTGGAAATCAAGATATAGCTTTATCCGGACAAAGATGCCAAAGTTTTACAGGTTGGGTCATTTCTTTTGGGGATATACTAGGGGAAATTTGTTATTTTAATTGGAACACGAGTAGTATATTATGTGTTTTTATATAACTGATGAAATTTTTATTTTTTTTAACTCTCATATTTCACTATTTATATAGAAATACGTGATGTTTCATTTCGTGTTTCGATCATACTAAAAAAATCTCTTGTACACTAGAACAAATTAAAAATGTTATGACTTAAATTGATATTTGAAACATGCCATTAATGTGAATTACAATATGCTTTGGTTGTCGTGTAATAGTGAGGTTTTCAGGTAAGAGCTCCCGTTATATAAATATATATGTATTATATTATTTATATATATCATACATATATTATATAAGTGAATATTTGATCTACAACAATGCTACTCTTCCTGACTTTTACGCAGGTATGGCTACCGACATGCATAGTTATTTGTTGCTCAGCACCTCTACAAGAACACAGGCATGAAGAATAACAGGACAAAATTAAAAACGAAGAGGACTGGAGGAGGGCAGGGTAGTGTCCCTCTCTCTAGACAAAGAGCTGGGTGCCACGTTGTGTACTCTCTCTCTCTAGACACAGAGCTAGGGTGCCACGTAGTTTACTCTCTCTCTAAACACAGAGCTGGACATGCTCTCTCTCTAGACTGGGCACCACTACATAATCCACCCTCTCTCACAGAGAGCTGGAGACACCACATCATTTCATTTCAGCCATGGTAAGTTTGGCAACAACACAAGCCAACACCTGAGGCAATGAACCATCCCTCCCACCTCAAAACCCAGAAATTAACCTCAAAACATTGGCGGCTTCTTTCACCACTCTCCTTGCCCTTGGACGGTTATTATTCGCTATCGGCACTAGTGAGCCGGGTACCTTTGTGAGCAACAAAGCCCACAAAAAGTTGCTCTATATTGTGGGTTTCTCTCTGGGTGCCATATTCTACGGATTGGTATTTTTGTCTGCAAGACTAAAATACCCTCTATATATATGGGCTGCGTTATCCGTAACTTGGGTAACGTTCTGGTTTGGCGTCAATCAAGACGTTCATCACAAAAATGATTTCATTAAAATGGTGTTAATCATTAACTCCATTCTGGCAGAACTATTCTTTTTAAAAACACTCTTCCATGTTGGAATGTCTGAAAGCCTTCAGTTTCTGAGGAAGAACCTATCTTTTTGGGGTCCAACAAAAGGTTTTCTCAGCTTCATAAAGAAGGCTAAGCCATGGATTAGCTTTCTCTAGGTGGTTAAGAAAACCTCTTGAAACCTAGAAAGATAGGTTTTTCTTCAGAAACCGGAAACTTTCAGACACTCCAACAAGGAAGTGTGTTTTAAAAAAAATTAGGGCTGCGAGAATAAAGTTAATGATTAACACCATATTGACGAAATATTTCTTGGGATGGACGTTTTCATTGACTCCAAATCAGAACATTATCCAGGTCACAGATAACGCAAGCCATATATATAGAGGGTATTTTAATTTCGCTGATAAAAATAACAATACATAAAATATGAAACCCAGTGAGAAAACCACAATCTAGACCAACTTTTTGTGGGCTTTGCTGTGAACAAATATACCTGGAGCACTGGTATCGATAGCGAACAATAACCCTTCAAGGGCAAAGAGGGTGGTGAAAGAAGCGGCCATGTCTTAAGGTTCATTTCTGGGGTTTCAGGTGGGATGGATGATCTATTAGCTCCAATGTTGAGTGGTGCTGTTGCCATGGCTGAAATGAAAATTATCAAATTATATGGTGGCTGCAGCTCTCTGTTAAAAATTGTGGGATTATATTGTGGTGCCTAGTCTGGAGAGAGTGCACGCCCAGCTCTGTGTCCAGAGACAGAAAGTACACTACATAGCGCCCACCAGCTCTCTGTCTAGAGAGAGAGAGTACACAACGTGGCACCGAACTCTTTGTTTAGAGAGTGTGTGCGTACAATACACAACGTGACATAAGATACTCACCAAACTTTTAAATGGCTCAATTGTTTGCTTAACTTGACAACTTTTTCCTGCAATTCATAAATAAGATCATTAGATGTAGTAAATAAAAATTATAAAAGCAAAATTCTCACCTCAGGTATGCAACAGAGGTTAAATTTCTAATATAAAAAATAAAACTCTTGCATCTAGCGAACCTAGTTAGTCCTCAACACAAAACAAACAGATTTAAAGCAGTTAAATGCACATCCAGCTAGGCAGCTACACAGAAACCAATTCAAGGCTTAAACCTAGCTTATGACTATATTGAAATGACAAAGAAAATCCATATTAACAAACTGATAGAAACTTGTTTCTCACTACTAATATAAAAAATCTTGCTAATGGCCAGGCCGAAACGAATATGAAAAAAAAATCACCTGAGCAGAGCTTAACCCAAATACATATTTCTTCATTGAACTCAACCTTTCAACAGACACCTAATAAAGGCAAACCAGAGTCTTGTTAATTTCCTCATCGTAATTGGGACCAAGCATAATATTCCTTGCAGACAGCGTGCTTCTCAGCTTTGGAAGAACCTCATTGTTCGGCGTTGTGCTCTCAATTGGTTGCTTCTTCTCTGTGCTTGATTTGATTGTTGCCTTCATGGCCTTAGCTTGGTTCATTGGAAGGGTTGATAGATTGGGGTTCTGATTTTCACCATCTTCCTTGAATGTTGAATTATTGGTCAGGTAAATCGAAGATTGATTTAGTCCTCCTCTCTTTAACTTCACATCTCTGAAACAGCCAAAAAAACAAAGAAAAAAAAAGGGTTAAAGTGTGCTGAATTTGAATTAAAATTGTACTGTGAAAGAAGAGGATTTATGGGTTTTTCTTGTTACCTCCGTATTTTATCACGGTTTGGTCAGTGTGATTTCTTCACGTTTATCATCCAATCTGATGCCAGTAGGTTCCTTCTTGGAAGATTGAGGCTCCTCCTTGCTTGTTTTAACATTTCGACTCTCCAATTCATCGTTCACTGGCCTTGACTTCAACACCGCGTTGCTCTCCGGCCTAATTGACTCCCGCTGAGCCTCCAGCGATGCCGGAACAGCTTGAGAGTGGGGCAAATCATACGAAGACCCGCCATTTTCAGCTGGAGATCCTGGGTTTTTTTTTTCCAAATTCGGACAGGCAGTCTCAACCTTAGCAGGCTGATCAGCCACCACTTTGGCCGTAGAAGAAATGGGACTGTTTTGAACCGCTGGGTTCTCGTCGTCATACTTCACGGGTCGCGGTCTTTTCCTCTTGGGTGCCGCAGATTCGAACCAAAGACACCAAATTTCCATCAGTCACGATAAAAACACAACAGAACCCAGCTCTGTTTTCTCACCGAAAAACCAAGCGATTCAATCCCTTTTTCTCAGTCTCTCAGCAACCAAACGGAGCATTTGGGGTACCAAAAAAGAAATGAACAAAATCGAGAGTTCTTGTTTTTGCCCTTGTTAACAACATATCTTTCGCTCTGTACACACCAAAAAACAGTAAACACCTCATTCATTACTAACAGCCATTTCAATCAATTAATTATTTAGACAAATTTTTCAACGATTCCGAAGCTCAGACAAAAAATGCATGAGAAAATTGAGATTATATGCAATTGGATGTCAAAGAACCTGAAAATACCATATATCCAATATTTAGTGCATACACCTAAAAACTAATCTTTATATATACTTTAAAATAATACAGATCAATGTAATCTAAAACATTGGAAATGCATATCAGTCCAAGCCAAGGTCTCAAGTTCTCAGAGTGGGGAATTACTGATTAGAACAGTTAATTCTCTGCTCCTTTTTGGGTATGAACTAATTAGCATAGTAGCCATAAAAATACCAAACAAAAGCTCAATAATTTATGCAATTTGGTCAAATTTTATACAATTTCTAGCAAAACTCAATAATACAAAAGGAACCCAATAGATGATTGAAGCAATTTTATACACAACTTATGCAAGTCCAAAGAAACGCATTTGATCAAACTTACTGAATACTGAAAAAAAAAATTACAATCAAAGTACGGATTAATAACTACCTCAACAGCTAATAGAGCCAAAGCCAAACCCTAGAGCTTCGAAGGGCAGAGACGATCACAGAGACAGGAATAGTCCTTATTCCTTCCCACTGCTGCTGCTGCCACTTTCTCTCTCTAAAAACCAATTGGAAATTGTTTATAAAGAGACAGAGAGGAGAGGGCTATGATGATTGGACGAAAGAAGCATGAAAAACTAAAAGACATGTAAGCTTGAATTCGAGTCCCAAATTGAAAACATAAGGGAGGAGTGTAAGGGTGGCTTACCGAGGTCAGGAGAGGTGAGTCTCGTAGGAGAAGTCGACGAACAGTGGCAGGAGCCAGTGCACAGTGAAAGGCCTCGCCTGTGTCTCCTGAGCAGAACAGAGTGAGTGATAGTGGTTCTGTGAGATGGAGCGAGTGGTGGTGGTGCTGTAGTCATGTTTTGCCGGAAAATGGAGGCGTTGGTGCGCCTCGGTGTTTATAGAGAAAAGAAAGGGGAGTCCAGGGAGCTGGTGGTTGTTTGATGGAGTTGAGGCTCTCCGGAATGGCGAGTTGTGATGTGGACTCAGGCCTCTCGGCCTCTGGGTTTTACGGAGAAGGGGAAGATGGTTTAGGGTTGAGAGAGATGGAGGGAGGGCTAGGTTTTAGAAAAGATGAAGAAGAATAGGGGTGAGCGGCGCTGGGGCTACAGGTTGAGAGAAATGAAGAGAGAGCAAGAAGAAGTCGAAGGCAGTGAACCCTACGGACAAAATTACCCTTTTAAGTTCTAATAATTACCCTTCCAACCCACCTCAAATCTGATGGGTTTCTTGTAAATAAGGTGAAATCAAGTGGCAAACAATTTACTGTAGCCATGAACAGTCTAATTGCCCACCAACTTTAGAATAGATAATAAATAAATATAATTTGGTTGCTTGCCAAACGACAAATTGTTCTTCTTATAAAAGTGCTACTTACAAAAACCGCTCGTAAATAAAAGTTTTTTTTTTTGGAGAAGCATAACCAAAAGCACTTAAAAATTTTATTTAATAGTTAGGACACTAGCTCATAGAAGTTTCGGTTCTATTTGCATATAAGTTTCTCCCAAGTTCTAATTCGAAAAGAAAAAAAGGGAATGCCTTCTTTCTCGTGGAAGGGCAAGAAAGGTAAGAGGGAGGAAAGCGGATTGTCATTCACACTGTTATATTGTGCTCGTTGTAGGATTGTCGTTTTTTGTTCTTGAAAACTAGTTTTGATTACATATTTGCTCTAGTTATGGTATGTTTGATTTTTCGCATACACCATGCACCACAATATTCGTAGAAAAATGAAAATTGTTTTGTTGTTATGGAAATTTCCAGTAGCCATACGAGGGCTCAAACTTTATGTAGTATGTATTTTGACTAAATTACTGAATGACCAAAGCCATTTATGTGTTTCCTAGTATATTATATGAATCTTGTACTTCTGTATAACATTTGCCATTACATGCCTCATTGATATTGTTAGTTTCGTTCTTTTTGGGTTTCAATATTGTGTTTCTTTATTTATTTAGGCAACGTGATAGTTCATGCTCTTGATGAGAACGTTAGAGCTTACTACACTTTGCAGGCTGATTGTGGTTGTTTGTCTAGTTGAAATTTTCTTGATGTTACACTTGTATATTTACATTGAAGACATCGTCGATGACTTTTAATAGGGCATCGGTTGGGTTGGGGTTGAGTTTCAACCCGTGGCACAAACCTATCTTAAATGTATTTTAGATCTCGTATTAAGTTTGAATACAATCGATATTAAGAGGAGAGAATGTACTTGAATTGTTCTTGGATTACCAGATTAAATTGAATGGTCAAATATAACAAGAACAAAAGTTCCATAATGAAATTAGGTTGGATAGTGGCCGGTTCAGGAAAATAACTTGCATAACACGATTATACTGTCACGTGACATTTTGTGTCAATGAAATAAGGACATGTGGACACAGGCAAGGTTATAAAATCGCTAGGCGCTAGTCGAGCAGCGGGTAGGAGCCTAGCACTTAGGCGGATTTATGTAAATTTATTATATATCTTGTAAATAAATGCCTATTTACACCTAAAAAAAACTATACTTGTATGGATAATAAAAGAATGATAAAATGCAAAAATAGAAGTAGAAGAATACACAAATTACATACATCCAAAAAGTTCAATATTAGAAAAAACAATAAGCACATAATCATAATGAGGAGGATTTGGATGATAGACTAAATTCTTCTTGTTCATAAATCATGATCCTTGCATTGGATTAGACATAAACTAAATTATGTAACCTTGTTGTATTTAGTTTATTTCTTTTCTTTGTATGGATCCGGGATCCCCTCAAAAGTGCTACAATTCGTTTCACTATTGATGAACTTGTAGTAAATTCATCATTTGCAAATTAGATACACCATTTCCATAAGTACACCACCATAAAACCAACAAAAGAAAAAACACACATTAATAAAAAATATATATATAAAAAACCGCCTAGGTGCCGCCTAGGCCGATTTTTATAATTGTGGACACGGGATTCGACCATGGAGATGAGAATAAAAGGGGTGGCATGAGTAATTAATTTTCGTAGCATATTTCTATATAAGGAGTTGATGTTCATATTTGTATTTGATTCCTAATTTTGCAAAAGAGTATGTTGTAAGCAGAACTGTTTTTAATAATTATAATTCTTTCTAATATAAACGAAGTTTCAACAAAAGACCCCCCAAAATCACAGAAACAAATATTTGAACAGAAAAATCATTTCGAAATTCAAATTTACACTTCTAAACACATAATATTCAAACCAGAAAATTAAACGAGCCTTGATTAGTTGCTTATACATTGTTCATTCAGTTTTAATTATTTTCTTTTTCCATGAATGACAACCACTTGCCAAACGCACAAAAATTAAGACAAATATATTTGTAAAAAAAAAAAAGAAATAAGACGGGACTCAAAATCGAAGGTAAAGAAACATAAATAAATAAAAAATTAGAAGCGCGTAGCGCCGCGATAGTAAAAGAGCCTCTCACATGCGCGAAAGTGTCCGATTACATTTTTGTTGCTCCTTGTTGGTTTTTGCTCTCTGGTGACAGTATAGCTGGGAGATGGCATGGACAATAATCGAGGCATGTTTTTGCATGATATGGTTTTGGCGGACGCTTGTGTACATCTGCGTAGCGTTTGTATAGCACGTGGGGTTCAAAAATGAGATAGCTAGGGCTAGGGCCTGTGGCACCTTCTACAACTCTTGTACATAAATTAATAAGCTTTCTTTTACCATGTAAAACCTGACAGTGCCTTTTCCTTCCTTTATTTTCTCTCTTTCCTTTTCTGTGAAACTTTCTTTTACTCACACATCTCTGGGGAAAACCCAGTTTTGCTTCTCCATCAATTAATTTCTTTGGTTTAGGTCAATTTTGCCCCTCGACATAAAACTGGGAAACGCAGAGTGAGTGAGAAAGGCTGCTGTACGGCTAAGCATAAATGGGAGGTATATTAACTTTGAGAAATTAATGAAATATATGTTAAAAATTATATGTTGGAAACTTTATAGTTAGCAAGATCACAGCCTGGACACGGTGCTTATGGAGGAAAGACGAAGGAGGTGGGGTGGATTCTAAGAAGAAAGGGGGAATGGAGAAAGAGGAGGAAATAAGGCGGGGCTGCTGCTGGGAAGCAGGAGGTTGAAGATGAATAGTGGGGGTGGGCCCACTATGTTTAAAAAAATTTCAAAGGATAATTGGTTAGGAGAAGGGAGAAAAAGGAAAGAAAAGCAGGGTGGGTCACTAGAAGACTTAAACGACGCGCGGCAACACCTGATAAGGTCACGTGTTATTTTAATTTTTTTTTCTTCAAATTACTAAAAACTCAATAAAATCCTTAATGATTGCTCTACAATTTTGAAAAATATGCAACCCTGGTGATTCCATCCTATTCTCTTTGATGTTTGTATTTTGACATCCAGGGAAGTCGCGACATCGTTGTTAGTGAATAGGATGGAATCTAGGGATTGATTCACTAACAACGATGTCGCGACTTCCCCGGATGTCAAAATACAAACATCAAAGAGAATAGGATGGAATCACCAGGGTTGCATATTTTTTAAAATTGTAGAGCAATCATTAAGGATTTTATTGAGTTTTTAGTAATTTGAAGAAAAAAAATTAAAATAACACGTGGCCTTATCAGGTGTTGCCGCGCGTCGTTTAAGTCTTCTAGTGACCCACCTTGCTTTTCTTTCCTCTTTCTCCCTTCTCCTAACCAATTCTCCTTTGAAATTTTTTTAAACATAGTGGGCCCCGCCCCCACTATTCATCTTCAACCTCCTGCTTCCCAGCAGCAACCCCACCTTATTTCCTCCTCTTTCTCCATTCCCCCTTCCTTCTTAGAATCCACCCCACCTCCTTCGTCTTTCCTCCATAAGCACCGTGTCCAGGCTGTGATCTTGCTAACTATAAAGTTTCCAACATATAATTTTTAACATATATTTCATTAATTTCTCAAAGTTAATATACCTCCCATTTATGCTTAGCCGTACAACAGCCTTTCTCACTTACTCTGTGTTTCCCAGTTTTTTCATGTAAGAGCTCTCGTTATATAAGTGAATATTTGATCTACAACAATGCTACACTTCCTGACTTTCACGTAGGTATGGCTACCGGCATGCATGGTTATTTGTTGCTTAGCACCTCTACAGAAACACAGGCATGAAGAATAACATGACAAAATTAAAAGGACCAAGATGAGGGCAGGGAGGTACTATACGCACACTCTCTAGACAAAGAGTTGGGTGCCTCGTTGTACTCTCTCTAGACAAAGAGCTGGGGGCGCCACGTATTGTACTTTCTCTCTCTAGACACAGAATTGGGTGTGCACTCTCTCTAGACTAGGCGCCACAATATAAACCCACCACCACATACTTTCCATTTCAGCCATGGCAACAGCACCATCCAACACTGGAGCCAATAGATCATCCATCTCACCTGAAAACCCAGAAATGAACCCCAAGACATTAGCAGCTTCTTTCACCACTCTCCTTGCCCTTGGAGGGTTATTGTTCGCTATTAGTACCAGTGCTCAAGTTGCATTTGTGCACAGCAAAGCCCACAAAAAGTTGGTCTGGATTGTGGGTTTCATATTTTACAGATTGGAATTTTTATCAGCCTAATTGAAATACCCTATGTACATATGGCTTGCGTTATCCATGACATGGATAATTTTCTGGTTTGGCGTCAATGAAACCATCCATCCTAAGAAATATTTTGTCAAGATGGTGTTAATCATTAACTTTATTCTTGCAGCCCTAATCTTTTTTAAAACACTCTTCCATGTTAGGGTGCCTGAAAGCTTCCGGTTTCTGAAGAAAAACCTATCTTTCTAGGGTCCAAGAGGTTTTCTCAACCACCTAGAGAAAGCTAATCCATGGCTCACCAACTGTCTATGCATGATCTTTTATATAATTATTTCTGTAAAATTATTAGAAAATTTCTTTTTATATTAAGAATTTTTTTATTTATAAAAGCTTTGCTTCTCCTGTTGCCCCCGCACCCTCTGTTGCTGTTGATCTTATTACCATTGTTGCTTCTACTATTGCTGCTCCTCGTGGTGGTGGAGGTCAAACAGGTCATTTGTAGGGTATCTATATTTAAAGACTTTTTGTTGGATTACTGTTCAAGTTATCAGTCCTGAAATCAATTAACTTGTAAATTTGTATCAAGACATTGATAACTTGAACAGTAATCCAACAAAAAGTCTTAAATATAGAATATTTAAACCCTACCCTAAACATGACTTGCTTGACCTCCACCACCACGAGGAGCAGCAATAGTAGCAGCAGCAGCGGTAACAAGATCAACGACAACAGGGGGTGCGGGGGCAGCAAGAGAAGCAAAGCCTTGTATAAATAAAAAAAAATTCTTCATATAAAAAGAAATTTTCTATTAATTTTACATAAATAATTATATAAAAGATCATACCTAGACAGTTGGCAAGCCATGGATTAGCTTTCTCCATATGGTTAAGAAAACCTCCTGGACCCTAGAAGGATAGGTTTTTCTTCAGAAACCAGAAGCTTTCAAACACTCCAACAAGGAAGAGTGTTTTAAAAAAGATTAGGGTTGCGTGAATAAAGTTAATGATTAACACCATCTTTACGAAATATTTCTTGGGATGGACGTTTTCATCGACTCCAAACCAGAACATTATCTAGGTCACGAATAACGCAAGCCATATGTACAAAGGGTATTTTAATTTGGCTGATAAAAATAACAATCCATAAAATATGAAACCCAGTGAGAAACCCACAATCTAGACCAACTTTTTGTGGGCTTTGCTGTGCACAAATGTACCTGGAGCATTAGTATCGATAGCAAACAATAACCCTTCAAGGGCAAGGAGAGTGGTGAAAGAAGCCGCCATGTCTTGGGGTTCATTGTTGGGTTTTCAGGTGGGATGGATGATCTATTGGCTCTAGTGTTGAGTGGTACTGTTGCCATGACTGAAATGAAAATTATGAAATTATGTGATGGCTGCAACTCTCTGTGAAAGAGGGTGGGATTATATTGTGGCGCCTAGTCTAGAGAGAGTGCACACCCCAACTCTGTGTCTAGAGAGAGAAAGTAGCCCCCAGCTCTCTGTCTAGAGAAAGAGTACACAACGTGGCATCGAGCTCTTTGTCTAGAGAGAGTGTGTGCGTACAATACCTCCCTGCCCTCCTCCAGTCTTCTTGGTCCTTTTAATTTTGTCTTGTTATTCTTCATGCATGTGTTCCTGTAAAGGTGTTGAGCAACAAATAATCATGCATGACAGTAGCCATACCTACGTAAAAGTAATGAAGAGTAGCATTGTTGTAGATCAAATATTTACTTATATATATATGACAGGAGCTCGTACATTATAACCTAACTATTACATGACAACCATAGCATATTGCAAATCACATTAATGGCATATATATATATATATATATATATATATATATATATAACAGGAGCTCGTACACTATAACCTAGCTATTACATGACAACCAAATCATATTGCAAATCACATTAATGGCATGTTTCAAATATCCAACAAATATCAATTTAAGTCATAACATTTTTAATTTGATTTAGTGTACGAGAGGTTTTTTTAGAATGGTCTGAACACGAAATGATATATCATGTGTCTTTATATAAATAGTGAAACATGTACGTTAAAAAAAATTCACCATTTATATAAAAACATATAGTATATTACTCGTGTTCCAATCAAAATAAAAAATTTCCCCTAATGTACCCAAAATAAAAAGGCCAAACCACACAAATATGGTTTGCTTATCTCTGTGGAGAACGACCTTGCGAGATTTGTTTATCCTACAATACTCCTTACTATGGTTATATGACATATATGCTTAATGTGTTTTTAAATTTTGGACTTGTTGGATACTCGTTCTGCATTTTATCATTCTTTTATTATTTTATCCATGGATTTCATACAAGTATAATTTTTTGTAAATGTCAATATGCACTTATTTACAAGATATACAAGAAATTTACCTAAATCGACCTAGGAGTTAGGCGTCAGCCCGCTGCCCAACTAGCGCCTAGCATTTTTTAGAACCTTGGTACAGACACATAAGAAAACAAAAGGGGGGCATATAGGTAAAGCTGAGATAGAGTTCATTTGTGATCCTAAAGGTGCAAAAGAAAATTGTGTTTCCCTCTATTTTCATATGATGTGGTTAATTTCACAAAGAAACCAATATATAAAGGAATCTAGTGCAAACAATGCAACATATAATGTTAAAAAGCGGATGAAGAATATATGAAGCCTGAGAGCAACAACATACAAATGAGTAACATGTAAGGAATGTTAAAATAGAGAAGACATTGATGTATTATGTTGTACTGGAGAAAGGCATACACGTAGAATAATATCCTAGAAGATGATGGATTGAAGAACAAAATTGTCTTATAGCATGCTTCTTAATAGTTTTAGAAATGGATTGGATTCCTATATTTTAGCAATTGACACTTTAAGATAAGACAATTTTATTTAAAAAGAAATTATCAGATGCATACATATTACTATGTGAGAAGGGCTGAGACTTTTACCTCAGTACTAAACCTTCATATTGGTACTAAACCTGATATTTTCTTCGTTGCTTCATTCCAAAGAGGAAGGCTTATCATAAGCTTCAGGAATCTGTAAAAGAAAGGTAAGTATGTGAATTCTCAAAATAAAATTGAAATCGAAATTCTTATTTCTAAAAGAAATTGAAGACAAATTAAGATTAAATTATAAATTGAATATATATTAAGAGCATATTCAACATTACTTTCCCAGGAACTAAATTATTGTGTATCAATGCTGCTTCTCACCTAGATCAGTTCAATATTTTTAACAAAGAAATGTGCCGCAGATCGTTGCTTTTGATCATCTTGCTCATTTTCTTTAGCTCTATATTGTCATGGTCATCTCAATAGCTGGTGCAACGATGTAGGTCCTACAATAAGAAACAAAAAAGATATAGATTAACCCTTAAAATGGCTAGAGGCAGCAACATCTGCAAGTCAAAGATGGGGAACAATGTCTCCATATCGTGTCAATTCTTCCTCAAAACCATTGCAATACCAGAAAGATAATATCAAAATCAAAACCCTAACCAATACCAGAAAGATATTTCTTTTTATTTAAATTTTAAGAAAAGGCCTAAACTTTACGAAATTAAGGGGAAAAAGAAGTTAAGTAAAGCACCAATTTGCAATTGTCACAAGTGAAATATGAGACTCCAACTGTCTTGAAGAACTCTGTCGCCTCATCGATTATGACCAGACGGTGGAGATTGAACTCGTGCGTACAACCGGAGCACCTGATTATACATTGAACATAAAACAAAATTTATATCAAGTCAAGCAATAATTATGAGAAAATAAACTAAAAGGGATTTGAGCTGAGAGTTACGATTCGATGTGCGGGCTGTGGAGGGCACATGTTAGCGGCGGGGGAGGAGGGGTTGAGCTAGGGCTCAGTAAGAGAGAAGGTAGTGCTGCTGTACTTGTGGAGGTGCTGAAGCAGAAGGCGGAGGAGGACAAACGGAGAGGAAGCATAGAGGCACCAACCCTCACCCATCTACAAATTGAATCAACTATGAAAGAAAATAAATTCGACGAATTAGAATCAAACTAATGAAATTGAACTGAACAAAACCCTAACTCAAATTTATTGGACTGGAATCAAACTAATGAGATATAATAGAACAAAACCCTAACTCAATTGATGCCTCTGTTAAAAACCCATCACTGATGTTAAAATTATCTTTGGGTAAATTGGGTATGAGTGAGCGTATTGACCTTCTCCGGGCATGTCGTGTTCAAAATTGGAAGACTTTAAGATGTCATTTTGGTGGAAAATGGGCAGCGCTGCAGACAGTGGCGGATCCAGGATATTAACTTCGGGTGGTCCTAAAGTAAATGTTAAAAAAAAAAAAAAATTAGATGAAAACAACATTGAAACATTAAACCGTCACTTTCATTTATAAATGTTGGTACAAACAACACAAGTCTTGTTCTCCTAGACTCTAGGGTTCAAGAAAATCACGTTCACTCATCGTTTAATTTTAATCCTATGGTAGAGAAAAAAAGTAAAACAAAACTAAAAAAGTGTAAAAAAAATAAAAACTAAAAATAAGATGGTTATCTAACTGCCCTTAATAAGTGTTTTTATAATTAATACTAGCATATGCCCCACGGCAGTTCATCTTGGGGTGAGGCTTTGAAAAAAACTGTAAAATTTAGTTTGTGTGAATTTAATTTACTACCCATGATTTTATTTTGTGGTAGAACATATCTTTTTACCTTCTTTTGATCGATAAATAGGATTTCATTAATGTAGTGTTTAGATGAGTTGCTTTGGTTTTAGGATAAAATAAAATTATCAGGGCACGGATATTCTATATAACAGTGAAGATATGTTGGAGTTTGTGGGGTTTTAGTTTTAGAAGAGAAAAAATCTGACCCAAAAAAGGAGAAAAAAAATCAGATCTAAAAAAAAAAAAAAAAAAAAAAAGGGAAAGCAAACAATTACGCAACCTTTCCCCAAAAGAAAAAACCGCAACGCACCGTTTTATTAAAGTCAAGATTTTAAAAACGACAACGTGTTAGGTTAAAAGAGAAACAGAGAAAACAAGAGGACTCGTCTTCTTCGCGAGCTGCAGCCACTGCACCGTCGATTGTGCATATAAACCCAGCCAGCACAAACTGCCCAGATTACCGGGGGGTCCTCGAAGGTCCTCTCAAGCCTTTCTCCAGAACTTTGGAGGGTCCCGGGACCACCCGGATCCCTCTGTAAATCCGCCCCTGGCTGCAGAGAGAACAAAGTAAATCCATGTTTCTGTGGAATCGAAATTGCAGAAATCAAACGATGTAGATGAGGATTTTGAAGATTCTGAATTCAAGAAAGAGAAGAGAAATTTACCTTTGGGGAAGAGTGGTGGCCGCTGCTGCTGAAACTGAAAATGGAACGAAGAACGTACCGGAAGCACATGTAACATACCGGAAGCAAATGGAAAGTCCCGGCTTCCTTGTTGGTTTTTGCTATCTGGTGATTATATAGTTGGGAGATGGGATGGGCAATAATGGAGGCATGTCTTTGCATGATATGGTTTTGGCTGACGCCTGTATACATCTGCGTAGCGTTTGTACATCTTGTACATAACTTAATAAGCTTTCTTTTACTATGTAAAACCTCACAGTGCCTTTTCCTTCCTTTATTTTCTATCTTTCCTTTTCTGTGAAACTTTCGTTTGCTTACACCTCTGGGGAAAACCCAGTTTTGCTTTTCATCACTTAATGTCTTTGATTTAGGTCAGTTTTGCCCCTCGACATAAAACTGGGAAACAGGAGGGAGAAAGGATGTTGTACGGCTAGCATAAATGGGAGGCATATTAACTTTGAGAAATTTAAATATGAAATATATGGTAAAAATTATAAGAAAATTAATAAAAAAAGCTTGAAAACTTTTAACTTTAACGATATAGAAAAAATAAAAGGTAAAGTGAATAGTACCATAATTGACTTTTTAGTGTAAAATTATTTTTTTCATTAAAATGAACAGTATCAAAAACTTTTTCTTTGTATAGCACGTGGGGTTGAAAAATGAGATTGCTAGGGCTAGGGCTTGTGGGACCTTCTACAACTCCTGTACATAAATTAATAAGCTTTCTTTTACCATGTAAAACCTCACAGTGCCTTTTCCTTCCTTTATTTTCTATCTTTCCTTTTCTGTGAAACTTTCGTTTGCTTACACCTCTGGGGAAAACCCAGTTTTGCTTTTCATCAATTAATGTCTTTGTTTTAGGTCAATTTTGCCCCTCTACATAAAACTGGGAAACACAGAGGAGGGAGAAAGGATGCTGTACGGCTAGCATAAATGGGCGGCATATTAATTTGAGAAATTTAAATATGAAATATATGGTAAAAATTATAGGAAAATTAATAAAAAAAAGCTTGAAAACTTTTAACTTTAACAATATAGAAAAAATAAAAGGTAAAGTGAATAGTACCATGATTGACTTTTTAGTGTAAAAATATTTTTTTTTCGTTAAAATGAACAGTACAAAAAACGATATGTTGGAAGCTTTAAATCACAACATATGCACATGCATCTAAAAAAGAATTTGGATATCAATTTGACCCTAAATCAAATAGTTGGAAAAGTAAGAAATAAGGTCATCTTCAATTGAAAGTTGGCCAGATGGCTCGTTTTAGCTCTCTGGCCTTCCAAAAAATTAATATTGTAATGAATAGTGCAATGACATATTTCTTACCATCTCCAACCGATGACCAAATTACTCGTTTTAGCTCTGTCACAAAAAATCATTTCTAACCGCTGGCTAAAGGGCCATAAGGCCAAACATAATTTACTATTTAAATTTAAAAACTACAAGAACTTAAATTAAATGAAATATAATCAAATATTTAAAATAAATTGTGAAAATACTTACTTCGTCGTAGTAATTGGCGCCGCTTTCATGTCTACTTACGGCTATTAACAGTTGTATGTTAAATTAATTTTTTAATTTAAGTGTCCAATTACTAGTACAACTTAGTTTGAGATAGTTACATATATAAATGCACATTTACCATCTCTAATAGGAAGCTTATACTTGGGGCACCCATTATATTTGTCCAACATTGGGAGAGAATTGAGCAAGCAAAAGCTTGCATGTGTGGCACTCATTATATTTGTCCCACATTGGCTGTGGGAGAGGTTTGAGCAATCAAACATGCCTATAAAAGCAACATCCCCACATAGAACTAATGACCTTTCTGAGCCTTAATTAAATATATATTTTTTAAATTTTTGGCCAAAAAATTAAAAAAAAACTATAAAAGAAATAAAAAATAACAACTAGCTGACGTCAGCTAGCCGTTGAGATTCAAATATTTTAGCCCGGCCCGGGCCCAGGCCAGCTGGCTGGCTCATTTAGGCCACCCGGTTGGCCCTTTGGCCCTTTTTTGTCTAGTGGGGCCCATGAGTCATTTGATCTGGCCCTCGGTTACATACGATTTGAGGGCTATATTCAACCCTCTGGCCCTATGGACCCTTCAATTGGAGATGGCCTAACAGTTTCTCACCTTAGCCTGCTACATTGCTATTGCGGAAAAGAGGAAAATACCACATTGGATCATCATCCATCTCACTATGGTCAAGACCAACTGGGCCTTGTCGAAGAATTAACACTAAGAAAAGGAACGATCTTCTACTCACTATGATCCTTTATGTTCTAATGGTGACAGACCCAAAACGTAGAATGTATTTTTCATTTGAGCATGGATGCTTCTTTTATATACACAACCATAACCAACTCCCACCTATCATGGGCAGCTAGCCTACTTGATTGAGCAGTTCAACATTGGACGTTAATCAAGCAACATACAGCAACAACCGTTGTATCCACGTTCAAAACATGAGTGTGGTTAATTAAAGTTTATTCTTCCTTTAATTTCTTTGTTATTTCAGGAAAGGGCACTCATGTTGCTCTTTACCTAACATTGGTTGATCCAAAATCACTATTACCTAGCTTCAGAATACTTACAGAGGCAACGTTTGGCAGGTCCTAGTGATGCTTTTAAGGACGTTGGCAATTGTTGTGAAGTGGCTAGAAACTAATTGTGAGGGTTACACGTATGGTCATTGAAAACAAGGTTTGCTTCAATCGATCTTAATCCGAACTTAATTTGTTAATCATGTTTGATAATTTTGCTTGATTCGTGTCTGAGTTTACAGTATCTCTTGGACTAAAAACTCAAAGGAATAATGTGATCATTACATATTGAGATCCAGAGTGCATATTGTTTCCTGGCTTAACGAACAAATAAAAAATCAATTGCGATATCCTTGTATACGTTTTGTAGTGAAGTTCTCAAAAGCATGAACGGATCATCAAGCATCAATTTTAAAACATGAAAAAGGTAGCAGTCAATTTGAGAAAAGAAAACATTCAGCACACCTTTCTCAAGCTTTTCTCGCTTTCCATTACTGTGAAACTTTCTTTCAAAAGCTTGCGACAGCATATAGCTTTGCAACGGCTATATTCTTTGTTTATGTTATTGTAAGTTGTCATTCTTCTGGGGCGAATTTTTTTAATCTCTTTTGAATTTCTATACATCGCCTAAAAGATTGATGCATTTGTAAATAAAATAAAATCTCAAAAACAGCAGAAAGAAATAAGAATCATAATCGAAGAATATTGTGTGCAACAAAAATATTGTCACTTGCACGTGATGTTATCATTTTATGCACCGACAAAGTGGATGAATAACTTTTTATTTTTTATTTCAATGATAGTGAATAACTTTTTTGTGGTCAATGAGAAACTA